ACATGTGTGATCTTTTTTCCTATACCTTCTTGATGTGAATAAATTTTGAAACTCAACCAAAGTTTAATGCTCCATTGGAAAGTATGACAAAATTAATTCATGGAAATATATAGAATATATAGAGTTGTACAATATCATTAAACTAGAATAAAATAGAATATATTGCTAGTAGATATTGCAGAATCGTATAATACATTCTACAGATTACTAATCTAAAAGTTTCATCATAAAATAATTCATAAAAAATAAAACAAAACAAAAACTGAAGATAAAATAGGCGATATATAGATGATATAGAGATAGTTACGAGATAGGCGCAACCCGTGAATGCTGGAAGCGTCCATTGCTACACCATTCACAGTATTCATAAGCACGACTCGTAACATAACACAAGATGAATAAGATGATGATAAAGACCGACGGAGCGACGACATATTTTATAAGGTCGATAACCCAAGACTCCATGCTGTTTCTTAACCACACACACACAAAAATTAATTATAGTTTTTTTATGTGTATTCTTTTATTTCTTGCGTAAAAATTATACATATATATGTTTAGTGAATATAAAAATTGACATTTTTGTAAATGTATCGGTGAATATAATTTTGTAAAGTTTACATTTTGACATTAGTTAATATTAACTAGGACAATTGGAAATTTTACATATAATCATTAAGAAAAAATACGTAAAACTTGCTTTATGGAAATTTTATATTTAATTTTATGGTACTTATATCATCACATATATACACATGCATGCAGTAATTTAAACCAAGGAAATATTTAACATTTTTCTTTTTGTCATAGACAATCTATAATAATAAAAGATTTTTGATTTCCTCGTCATCATATTTGACAGTTATTTCCGAGATGTGAGCCAACTTACACATAAGCTTAAAGTATTACTAACTTTGCAAACTGCCACAGGCCCACATTAGCAAGCTTAAAGTAGTAGCCGTAAATAACTCTTTCGCTGCTTCATTTCTCTTTGTTACAGTACATCAATTCTTCTTTCAAATTTAATGTCAACCAGTAAATAAATTTGCAGGGCGCCTCTTCATATTCCAATTAATCCGATCAAACATTTATAGGGGTGTATTGAAACTAAAATTTTATAGAATTTGAAAAGATTTGAGTTTTAATAAAATTTTAGATGATATTATATATATTGGAGAAGTTGATATGATTTGTTATTAAAATTATATGAAATTCCACCTAAAATAATTGGATTTGACTTTTTATATTTTTAACTAACAAGCTCTAGCAAATCATTTAAAATTACTTTATATTTTTTAAAATCTACTTTTTAAAATATTTCCAATAACACTGAATTTGATTTAATTTTTATAATTTGCTGATTGAATAATATGAATTTTAAATGACTTTAGTTAGTTTTACATAAATTTCATGTTCAACAATATCAATTTTGGTAAGATATTTAGAAATCACTAATTCAATAACAGGAATTTTTAAAGCAACCACCAAATCTTCTGAAATTAATCATTAAAATGTCTTTGTTTGTTTCTTTTACAAAAAAAAAAATCTTGAAGTGACTGATTTTTCTTTTAAATTATTTTACTGACATCGTTCATATTTTTGTTTGAATCAGGTAAGTCAATGGCACATTTGGAGGGTAAGTCCATGTTTGCCTAATTCTGTTATACATATGTTTAATCATCTCGGTTAATGCATAATCACTTTTTCTTAGCTCATTTCCAAATTTGGTGCGAGTGTTGAATTCAGGTTGTTTCTTAACAATACTAAGGGAAGAGGAGGCTCCCTACACTGAAGCTGCACCTGAAGAATAAATGAAAGAGATTTATGCTCTCTCTAAAAAGAAAACTCAGATGCCACAACAATATCTTACTCCTTTTGTTATTTAATGTCGCATTTTCAAGCACAGCTTCTCATCTGATGTAAGTAATTATTCTATCTTTGATCGATTGAATACTTAAACTTGACACAGAAAATTTGATCACCGAATTCCCGGCCTCTAATCACTATGTCTCAGGTGAGAATTGTCTCCCACAAATTTTTACTATATCAATCAGTAAGAGATTTACACAAACACTCTAAACACTCCTTGTGTATCAGGTGAGACCAAAATAAAGAGACACAACAAACAAGAAGTTAGATCAAAGAAACTCTCTCCTTCAAAGACATGACTTGAACAACTTTTTTTTTACTTTAGGTTTCTCTCTTCCTGGTCTTTCTAAACTCTCTCCGCCATTGTCTTTCTCTTGTTAAGGTTCTTCTTTGAATTTGTTAGGACTCTGCTACCAATTGTTGGACTTTTAAAGCCCATAAACTTTTAGTATAATACCAGTGCTTTGTCCACGCGTGTGAGTTGTATAACTATTTTGTGCTTTATATTGTATTTGTTGTTTTTGTTTTATATTTTTTGTTACTTTTTTCATTGATTGAAGACTTTTGATTTTAATTTGAAATGTTATTCCCAAACCATTAATAGTAACTGATTTTAAATATATAAGTTTCATTATACTCCTATATTAATTAATCGGAACTTGTACCATATGTTTCATTGAATTGATATACTATTTATATAAATTTTGGCATCTCAAAAAGATTAAAAAAAAAAGTCGTAGAGACCTTCAAGATCTCTACTCTTCAACAAACTGTGCTCCCATTATACGTAAGTTCTCGAATAATTCTCCATTTTTATTTTTATTTTGTCAAATGTTTCTTAATCAATTCCCTTCAACATACGACACTTTTTCTTTCTCTTTTGTCTCTTCCTCTTAATCCCTACAATTCATGCCTATCATTATTTTAACCTAATTTTCAGGAAAAATATGCATAGACTAACCTTCCTGGAAACACAACACTTAAGTTATTATGAAAAAAGTAAGGCATTTTTGCATAATTCAAAACTTTAACTGGAAGAATAAATAGAAAATGAATTTAGCTACAGTAGAATTTCTATAAATTAATAATCATTACAAATTAATAATTTTTGCCGGTCCCAAGTTGGGTCAGTGTAAAAATTGACAAAATTCGATAAGATAATCAGATAATATTTTTTTGAAAGTTCTATGTAAAAATATGGTCTCAATAATAATATAAATTGATAATTATACATTTATGCATATATTAATAGTATAATATAGTAAACTATAATAATATTGTTGTTTCAAGTTTATAAAATTTGTTTGATTTACTTCTAAATTCATTATTTTGACATTTTTGAATGAATTTTACATTGTTGAAAATATTGATTTTGTTTTTTTTTTATGAATATTAAAAATTCTAACTAAAAATATCTCTATAAATTCTATAAATTAATAATTATTAATTTACCGATTAATTAATAACTCTATAAATTAATAAAATTTGAGGGTCCTAACATTATTAATTTATAGAGGGTTTACTGTATACAGTCAAATAAACTCCAAAAATCACTTGTAAACACTAAACAGAATCCAAACGTGTGAGCAACATGTATATCTATTCAAACAGTTTCGTATTTTTAACACACATTTGCTTCAGAAATTCATTATGTTGCAAGGTAGAATGGGGATACCATTTTACTCAATTTAAAATTGGGATAATCTATTAAATATATATATGGACATAAGAATATAGCAGCAGTGAAGAACGATGATTGTGGAGAAGCAGTGACAGAACGATGAATGTCCATAATTAACCTTAAGATGGAACTTAGCAAACATTATTCTTTAAACAGAGCTCTAGCTTCGCTTGTTGGAAGACTAATCCCAGAAAATGAAAACTAATGGGCACAATTATAAATATAAACCTTTAGATGATCTATCAGAAAGTCTTCAAACAGAGTTCCCAATTTTTATATACAATAGGATTTTGAAAAAAGGTAGTATCTTAATTTCTTAGTGACGTGGACAAATGAATGTAGAGATCAAGATAGCATGTGAAAATTAGTTGAGATTGAAACAAATGTAAATCGCCAAATGAATTAAAATCGACAAATTAGAGAGAATATTGTTGGAACAATTTTTTAAGCCAATGGGTTTATGAAAAATTGGAACAAGAGTGAAAAGAAATGGGTCGATTCTGAGTCCAAGTATAATAAGAAGTGTAAGTGTGTGAATTGGTTTTTGTCTCATATTGAAAACATTGAAGAAAATCTTCTGGTATATATAGAGAAGAGGTAATGTTTGATTAAGAGTATGTGGTATTGTATGAGAACCATGTACTTATTCAGATGTTCCCCATTAGGGCAAATCATCATTGAAGAACAACAAATTATCGCCTCCTTCCTAATCTTTTCTCTTCTTATCTCTGTCTCACTCTCCTCCAAATTCTGCCATGGATAAGTATAACTTATCACTTTGTTTCAAAAATCAGACTAATAGAGAGTTTATTGACTTTTTTTCCATCTTTCTTAGGATAACATAAACTGACGTTGATGGTATTGATGTGCGTTTACAAACCAAAAGATGTTGCTTGGCTATCCACTGTTACATTCGTTGTAGGTTTCGCAATAAATTGGCAATTTTCAACTAACAGGATTGTTTATACATACCACTCCACATCACATTTTTCTTAATCAGCATCAGCCTTCTTGGTTTGTTCTGATTTCTCAGATAAGGCCAAGTAAATGGGTCACAGAATTTGACTCTCATCCCTCTCAATATCTCATTGGTATTTCTTTTTGGGATACTGATTGCAATAGAGCAAAAAAAGTTGCTTAAAAGGGTCATAATATTTCTCTTTGCGATCTTCTATTTTATAATGGTATTTAAATAAGCTTATGAATCTGATCACACTCACTATAAGAACACATTATTTCAGTAGAGAAATAAAAGCATGTTCATCAAATACAAGGGGGCTAGAAGCAAAGAGTAAGCAATACAGATACCAAACTAATAAAAGGGTCAAAGCGGAAGTAACACAAACAGAAGATTTATTACATACACTAAACTCAGTTAAAACAAAAGGAAACAAAGAAACAACAAAGAATCTGAAAAAACCTTTGGGGGGGGAGGGGACAATGTTAATCATCAAGCCTTGAAGAGAAGCTCGACGGCTTCGAAGAAGAGAGGAGCGATCTCGGGAGTGGGAGTTTTCACTGCGCATTTGAGACCTGCTTGGCCCACCATTGCAGTGAGTTCGATCAAGAACGGTACATCTCTCGGAACCTTTGCTGATAAATATATCACATCTTGGCTCCCGTTCTTGCGCTTTGCTATGAAGAACATATTGAACGCTGCGAGCAAATCAATGGTTGATTCCACGCTCGTGATGGTGATCCCGGGGAATTCTTTCTGGACTTCGTTCGTGTCCGGTAACGACCTCCATGTCTGTCGGGAAAAAAAGCAAACCAGAATGTTTATCCATTAGTCACTATTCTCTTAAACCTGAACAAACTCTAGTTTTAATGATGTTTACGTACCTCGAGGAAGGTTCCACGTTCCATTCTACCGTCTTCACCGAAAAGAGCATGAAGTATAATCTTGTCGGAGAAGTACCAAACAGGCTGCTGATTGTTTTTGACAGCGACTTGTAAGAGCGAGCTTGGAGGACCAGCAGACATGTTCTGCATCAAGACCATAGGTAGCATTGTCCTCGCAGATGTTCCCGGTTGCAAAGGCGGAATCTGAAAAAAAACAGTATAAACATCGGTTCATAGAGATTCGGAACTTGAGTATTAGACATAAGAAGTAGATTCAGTTATACCTGAAGAGGTCCAGCAGCTGCGAGACCGAATGTGTTCTTGTTGAACTGAATCATGAAACCATCAAGTACCGCCTGAGTGTTGTTCTCGAAGAGCATACTGTAGAATACTTGTCCGTCTCTTCGGGTTAGTTGAGCGCTTATCTGCAGACCTTGACCGGTTGAAGCCGGCACGACAACGGGCAAGGGAGGCCTGTGATCAAGTTTCATAAAGATTTTGATGAGCTTCATTTACGAGTAACTAAATTTCGTTTTTTTCAAGTCATATTAACTCACCCAGAGGGAGTCGTGGGTTCATCAACAGGGACAATCGCGGCATTGTCCAATCCCATCAAGTCACCTAGCAGATCGGGGACAGGAGCTGGGACCGCCGGTGCAGGAGCTGGTTGTCTTCCTGCAGGGTGTGCGACATTACCTATGGAAGCTGGAGGAGAAGCTGCGCTATCAACCGGATTACTGGATGAGTATCCTGTTTCGCTTCCTTCCGCAAAGTCCTCGTCCTCTGTTTTCTGAACTGTCGTTTTCAAGCGGGTCACAAAAGCCTCTGGGGGTTTGTGGTACACAGAGGACAAGGTGGAGATGTTTGTGAGCAGCTCGTCAAGGAGTGATGGGTCGAGTTGGTTTGAATCGTCAGTAATCACGGGCTTTTCCGCTAAAACAACATCTTTCGCCGCCTAAGGAAGAGCAACAATACATCTCAGGATGACAGAAAGAGAGCTCAGCTAGGTAAAAAGATGCTTGTTGCTTATACAAACGATTCTAAATACATTCATTATGGGCTAGCTGAGTACTAGAAAGCTATAAAATACAAATTGTAACGCATACCTCAGGATCAGTAGATAGAAGACGCCAGTATATGTATGCACGATCTCTGAGATCAGGATTATCCGTCTCTACAGTGGCATTATTCAAGACAACCTGAAAGCAACAAAGATATCGATCACATACACACACATGAATCGATCATAAAGACAGCAGTGAGCATGAGCAATGACGAACCTGAATCATTTGTTGAGGTCCTTCAGTTGGCTTCTTCAGAAATAGCTTAACTGTAGCAGTAAGAAGCTGCAGCTGGACCTGTGCTGGTTCCTCAGGAAAACTCTCAAGAAAACTTTCAAGAAGCTCGTCGGCGTTGTCAATTCGTTCAGCATATTCACCAATGATCCATATCATAGATGCCTTTCATGATGCAAACAGATACATTTATAAGTTCAGTGATTTAAGATTAAATTAAGATGGAAAACTTTTGAAAACTTCTATTCTACAAACCAAAATAGTTCATTACCTTAGCTTCTGGTTCATCCAAAGTATCTAAACTCTCACAGAGTGTGGCAATTATTGACTCGTACCTGTAAGATATTTTTTGAATATCACAACCCAATTAAAATAGAACTTGGAGATTTTCAACATATCATTACGTCAGCGACAGAGAAATGTCAACTTACGTGTTTGGATATCTTCTGAAGATATCTTTGATGACAATAATTGCCTCTTGAACAACGTAATTTACTTTGATCTTGATCAACTCAAGCAAAACACTGATGCAACGTTCGGCTGCTCTCTCTAGTTTGATAGCACATCGGCCTATAGCACGAACAGCCTTTCTAACAAAATCGACATCTACTTCCGTGGCATACTCTTTGAACTCCAGAAGAACCTACAGTAGCATTTTCCAAAAAAATATAATGATAGGCACCAGTAATAACTGGGAACTTCAGCAGATGGTAAAGTTCAGTGTGGATACCTGGTCTATGTTTCTGTCAGAGGCAAGTTTTATCATAATCTCCAACTTCTCCATCTTAACATAAATTGGGTCGTTATACTTGCAGAAGAAAACCTAGAAAGCACATATTGTTTGTAACATAATCAGTAAATGTAAGGATACATCAGTTTTTTGTTTTGATATTCTATGAGGCACAGGTCAAGTACCTTGATTTCATGGGCAAGGATGGTGGGTCGTTTTTGCACAATAAGATTAATGTTACGAAGTGCAACATACTGAATCTCAGGTTCCGCAGAGAGCAATGTAACAAGGGGTGGAGCCATCTTCTTGCAAAGATTTCGAATTACGTCTGTACTAGTAATAAGTTCCATTTGTTGAAGGATCATCTGCAAGGCAATTGCCAAAAACAAAACCGAAGTGAGAACGCATTAGAAAATATGCAAAGGCGTAGTTGATGTTTTAGAAGCAAGTTTGACAAGCTACAAGATGGCATAAGAGATGAAAACAATCAAATGAAAATAGCTAACCTTAACAGCTGAAAGCACAACTGCGCAGTTTGCATGTTGCAACCTTGGCGTGACTCTCTCAACAATATTTTCAGCTTCACGGGGATCAGCTGCTTTATACTTCGATAAAGCATCTAATATAAAAACTTGACCCCACCTGCGATGATAAAGTCAGTACAAAAAGTGGAGCTACTAAAAGCTTATCCAGTTTACTCATACTATAGGCTTTAGCTGCAGAAAAAACCATCTAGCTAAACACAATTGTCAACTGCCGCTTAGATAAAATGATGACGCTTAAGCAAACTGAGGACAAACCACATCACGCAAGCCATTCCATAACCCATCAACATTCCATAAGCAAGAACTATCTAGGTCAATACTTTGTACATTCTTAAAGCTTACAATGACTGGGCATAGCCGCATAGATATTCAATATCACCACAGAATGCAATGAAACTAAGGATTTGGAGATGAGGAGAGGACTTACTCAGTGCATTCATTTAGAGCGGTGAGGAGCTTTGTAAGGGTGGTACTATTGATCTCAAATATGGGGCTAGTACTATTCTCTTGAATCTCTGCAAGGGCTGCTACAGCGTTGGCAACAACCATCGGATTATTATCTGAAATCAGATCTTTCAAAGCTTCAAGGAAACCCCTATCCTCAACCAATTCAGCATTTATGTCAAAAAGCTTAGCTACGCAAATAGCAGCCGTCTTTCGCACATATGGATCATCATCCTAAAGAAAGAAAAAAATCATGCAAAGGATAGTGAAAATACTAGTCAAGATGAAACAGATTCTTCAAGACAATAGATATAATTGATATCAAGTTCCAATGAAAGGAGGTAGCATTTAAAACTCAACCTTTAGGCACTTTTGAAGAGGATCACATAGATATTCTGTGATTTTATCAACACGAATGCAGCCCATAGTCCGCACAGCTAGGGCACGGATCAGCGGGTTCGGATCCTGTGAATCCTGCAGAATACAAACCAACGATTTTTGAAACGATCACTTGACAAAAGAATGCCACACAATGCTATATATGCCAGTAGCTTGAGAGTGTTACCTTTACAAAAGTATTTACTGCAAGAATAGCGAGATCTGGCTGGCTTTTTGCATAGTTGATTAGATAAAGGTAAACAAGCTTCTTCAGCTCCAGATTTTCCGTTTGCATGCAATTGACTACATCCGTGAAAAGTGATGAAACGTCTTTTCCAACGGTCATCGCCGCAATAACCTTCTTCACTGCATCTTTTCTCTTATCCTAGGAAACAGAAAGTATACAAAAAAAGGTTAACAAAACAGAATCTCAAATAGAAAACCTTTACTCCTTCTTTAATCATCCAAATGATGGCATCACAGTAACTTTGAACTAGAAATTGCACCGAAAATCCATAAATGCAAACAGAAAAGAGCTGAACTCGAACCTATGCCGGAATAATCCTAGAGTAATTCTAGCATAAACCAAAAACTGGATGTATCTTTCTCACCAGGCAAAATCGCAAAATTGAAACACTCCTAATTAAGATAATATGTTACTTTTTCTCTTCATTTGCAAAGACAACTCGTAAGATCAAAACAGCCATTCTCCAAAACCTCCCAATTTCTCTCCGATTCTATCTATATCACTATAATGTATACAATCATCCCTTAGTCCACAGACGATTAAACGAAACCAATACCAATTCCACTAAATCGTAACAAATATTACCGATCTAATTCAAATCTAAAACTATACAGATCTAAAAACGAGTATGGGTGACTAAATTAAATGGAGAAAACGATCACCGGCGAAGAGATCGTGAATATAACAATGGCGGATCACAGATCCACGCGTAGAGACTATAGAAAAGTATAGGCAGAAAAGAAAAGAAAAAAAAGAAGAGTGAGATTAATAAACAAAAAACACCTTATACTGAGAATTAAGCTCTTCCTTGAGCTCAGGGATCTCTCCCTTCTTCGTCGTCGAAAAGTATTTCGAATCGTGACCGCTCATCGCTCCTTTCTTCAACCCAACGCTCTTTCTTCTCCGAGATTATGTGTGAGAGAGAGACGAGAGAGAGAGAGACAGACGATGACGGAGAAATGGTGGAAACGGATGACTCCTCCGGTGGCTGCTTTTCTCGATTAACGGGCCAATTCTATAATGGGCTCTATGATAAATTCAGCCCACCTTTGAAAATTAGTGAAACTGATGGTTACCTAAGAAACGTATAACTATTTCTCAATTGACCCCTAAACTTTACATAGTATACAAAAAGACACCTTGACTAGTCGTGCATATATAGATATCACCAGCAGTTTCCAGGAAAAACAAAAAAAAGTCTATACTATAGTATTGAAATCAAAGTCATTAGAAATTACAGCATTAGCCTTTGGAATGTTTATGTTATTATGTTATATTCCATGCAAAATGTTAATTAGAGATAACCATCATCTAGCCTCTCCTTTTTGTGGAGTTAACTTCTTATTTTTTTAGCCTCAAGGATTTAACTAAACTAGCCGTATGTTGATAAGTAAGCTACTCATCAAGCATATAGATTATATAATTAGCAAGACATGCTAGAGAACAAACAAGTATCAATTTGTATCTAGGACCCTATAGCATGTATTTTTTAACTATGTATTATCGAATGAGAGAGCTTTTGACTAGTCGTGGATATTTAAATATCACCTGCACTTTCCTAAGAAAAAAACTATATTACGTATTGAAATCAAAGTCATTAGACTCGTTAGTCGTTACTAATTCACTCATTTGTCAAACTTTGAGGAAACTTCAAATGCGTACACTTGACGGCTGGACCGTCAACGGTGAAGTCGGTGACGTCAGTACCCAAAATGAATGTAGACAGTATTTGAATGATTCCATATCTTATTCTTTAGAAGTTAGATCAAGATCTTCTGTGATGAACTCTTAATCTAATTTTATGACTTATAATTGAATTAACTTCACCAAATTCAAACCTACTAAAGTATGTTCTATTTTGGTCACCACCTACTAAAGTGTTTACAAAAAGAGGAAAAAAAAAATCAATTACTAGGAATAAATATCCTTTCAGTAAAGAGATATTACAACTATAAAAACTTATTATCATATATAACACTGTTACTACTATAAATTAATATTTTGATAAATTAATATTTTTTAATTTCAGAAATAGTTTATCAGTTAAATAATATATTTATAAATTAACATCTCTATAAATTAACAAAGTCTTAACATTATTAATTTATAAATTTTTTTACTGTATTACTTTTATTTAGAGAGATATTGTAACTTGCAAATCATGACAAAATCTGCTTTATTTTGATCTTTACTTCTACTATCCATAATGATTTATATATGAGTACACAAACGACATTTACCAACACCAAACTCTACCACTAAGCTATTACTCTATTATTAACTCTTTTTTTTGTAACTGTTCTATTATTAACTTGCTTATTCAAAATTATTTTCTTAAACAGAGTTTTTCAACTATCTTTACGTAGCTTCGGAATATATGGAATATATGTTTACATAACTTCTGAATATGTGGAATTCTTCTATCAAAAATTCTCCAGATGACCATAGCAAAACGGATTACAAAAGTATATATAGTAGAGATGAACTACTTCGTGCTGAATCATGACATTATATACCAAAATTAATATGTTATCATCTTTTGAGATAAAAAAAATTATGTTATAAGATTTAATATAGAACTCGATTGATTGAATATAATATTTACACAACAGAGTGTTGTAGTGGAATTATACAGCAAAATCAAATATCGCCGACACGAATAATTAAAGCCCATTAATTAACTGGTTACTTTCCAATTCACCACTGTACCAAACCAAACCAGAACCCGAATCCATCCGCGCGTATTTTTCTGCCGGTATGAATCGATCCCGACAAATGGGACACGTCATCTTGCCGCAATCAACGACCCAACGGTCTAGGCAACGGTGGTGAAACACGTGTCGACAATTCGGAAGCTGCCTAATCTTGTCATCGGATTCAAAATCGGAGAGACACACCGTGCAGCAGTCTTCAAGATCGGTCTTGATATCCGAGAAACGAACCACCGGAGAAACCTTATCTACGCGACTCGCCGGCGTGGAAGGGACGGGCCGGGTCGGGTCGGGTTGAGACCTCTCGTGGTCTAGAAATTGCGGTAAGCCGATGTAAGGACAAAGAGCATCGACCATGTCTCTGAAGAAACCGATGACGTAAAGCGTCTTAAGTACGTATTCCGGAATCTGAAGCTCCTTAAAATCCGTTGGAAGACCCATCAGAGAAAGAAAGAGAGAGAGAGAGAGATGAAGCTTGAAGATGTGGAAGATGTGGAATTTACACAGACATGTATAATAGTATTTATATGCTGAGATTATGATTGTGTTTAAAGCATTAATTATTGAAACTGGCGGCTAAAGATAGGTACTCCTCCAAGTGGATCAACAATGGTGGGTCTAGTGACTATTATAGTATTAATGAGGATATTTTTGTTTTTTTGATAAAGATATTGTTGTGTAAACTTTGAAATGGGAATCTTGACTTAGACTCGTAAAAGTTAAGGATCAAGCAGCAGATATGCCAATTAATAGAGGAACATGGTTGGAATCTTCAAACGAGAAATGTCAACAGTTCTCTCTGATCCTGTCTTGGCTATTGGCTAACACTAAATAGTAAATGAATTATGTTTCTTGCTATAAATGATAATAATATATGCTATAGCAAATGGGGATGTAGCTCAGATGGTAGAGCGCTCGCTTAGCATGCGAGAGGTACGGGGATCGATACCCCGCATCTCCATATTTTTGTTATGTTTATCCATCAATTTATCCACCACCCATGACATAGATTATGTTCTCGTACTTATTCACACATTATTTTTTGTTACGTATAATGGGATTGCACAAAGTGACAAGATTAAATTATCCAAAACGTTTACACTTTACTGGGGGCGTTTAGCATTTTCAGCAAAATTGTTAAAAGTTTGGGTCATACAATAAAAATGTAGAATTTCAATATTTAGCAGAGAAAACACAAATATATGAATTTGTAGTAACCAGTAACATAGACATTACGAAAAAAAGAGATCAAATTACACAGAAGCTACTATTTGATTCACTTCTTTCTTTCTGATCCTGATCCATCCATCCACATCATCGTGAACCTCTATGATTCTGATTTATAAATCAATAAATCATCTTCTTCGGCTGAACAAGCAAAAGATATTTTAGGTTTTATTTAAAAGTGCAAATTTATTAAATGGGTCACAAAGACTTCAAACCGAAAAGTACTAGACTGTTGTCATCTTTTACTGCGATAACGCACTCAAAATATCAAATTTTCGGTTTAAGCATTTTACATGTTACATATGCTAGCTACAATGTCGTGCCTACAATCTTAGAGACAGGTCCGGCCCATAATACAGATGGGCTAAGCCATGGTTTAGTATCTCATTTTTTTATTTTTAGTTTTTAGTAAACTTACTTATAATATTGGCAATAATGAGTTTATACATATACTAAATAATAAAACCTACGTTTTCCTTTTTTTTAAAAAGTAAATTGGAATTATAAACAAAAAAATTACAAATATTTGTTATAAAACTTAAAAAAAAAATTGTTAGGAGGCCACATTTTATTATTTTAGCTTTGAATCACCTATTTAGTTGGACCGGCACTGTTTAGAGGCTTCAAACAATATTTTATAATATAAATATTTTTAATTAATTATATTCATATTTGTATATAATATATATTTAAAATTTAAAATTATTTAAATCATTAATGTTTTATTAATAAAAATTCTTTACAATTTAAACAAATAGAATATACCAATCAGTTTTATAAATATTATTTAGAGAAAAAGTGAAACAAAACTATGAAACATATATAATTGAAAAAATAAAAAGTAAGTGAACCAAATAATTTGGATAACATCAAAGGCACTAAATATATAAATAGCAAGACAAACATCATACATAAAAAAAAAAAACTACAAGTTAAACAATATAAAAATAAGTTGTTTTTAAAGTAAATAAAAAATAAAAAAAAAACATATAAGAAACTAGTGTAAATAAATAAGGTAAATTTATTTGAAAAATCTTTGATAAAAAGAAAAATATCATATATCAGCTAAATAAATAGACTTGAAATCGATAGTCTAAACTTACGGAAACATTACCTTCACTCAATCACGTCCCCAAATAGCCAAGTGAATGGCGATTTAGGGTATGCGCCTCGATACCCAAATTGATCTTCATGGTAGAAGTAGATTGGATCGGATGTTCGGTGCAGCAATCAAAGGGATAATTCGGATCTCCACACTTAATGCTCGGATCTATGGGGTTGTGAGTAATTCGGTCAATCAAGCAACGGGAGACTTATTTGGGATCTCGGATCTGTGGGATTTGATCTACCAGCGAGACGAAAATCAGAGAATCTTTTCTTCGGAGGACCTGGTGGCAAAAGATTCGCTTCAGTCAACTTTGGGATCGGAAACGGGATTAAACCGGCCTGGATGTGCTGCGAATCAAAAATCACGAAGGAGGGATAATCATACACAACGCAGGAACGGATTAGTCACAATACATGATCGGTTACACAAATCAGAGGGATCAAGGGTC